CAACCAATTGCTTTTACCCCAAGGGCGGATCTACTAGAGTCCAGACTCCATTGGCCTCCGTTGAGTCCATCTCAGCTCTCATGGCATATACCCACTTCAAGGAATCTATGTCCAACATAGCTTCCGTATAAGTCACGGGATTCTCCTCACTAGTCGTGGCTTCCACTAAGTAACTTTCTTTGTCATAGCCGTAACGAATTGGAGGCCTGGATGCCTGGGTAGATCTCCTAGGTTGGTTATTAACTGGAGCTTGTGGGACATCTCCCACTACTCCTGAGCTCTCATCATCAAGAACAACTTCTTGATTATGATTGTTCAGGATATAATTTTCCTCCAAGAAATGGGCATTTCGACTACAGAACACCTTTTGCTCTCTTGGATCATAAAATAAATACCCTACAAAGCCTTTTGGGTAACCTACAAATAGGCAACGACTGGTCTTAGATTTCAATTTGTCAGCACTTGTTCTTTTAACATATGCTGCACAACCCAAAATCTTCAAGTGTCTTACACTTGATTTCTTGTCGGTCCAAAGCTAATAGGGAGTTTTCGGAACGGATTTGGTTGGAACCCGGTTCAACACGTATGTCGTAGTCTCTAATGCATAACCCCAAAAGGATGAAGGTAATTTCGAGTGTACGAGAAGTAATCGAACCATATCCAATAAAGTCTGGTTCCTCCTCTTTGACACACCGTTCAATTTGATCGAACTGTCGTTGTATCTAATTGTCTAAGGAGGCTATGATGTAACACTGGGTAAGAAAGTTTCTCTTCCCATTCTTGACATTCCCTCATGTGGGCCTCAGAAGCCTCATCACCCGGACGATTCGGAGCAGGGTTCTTAGCAACTTTGTCCAATTTCTCGGACGTCAGAACTAGCATAAGGTTATGATACCAGTCAGCGTAATTTGGGCCCTTAAGCTTATTATCGTCCAATAGTTTGGCGAATTGTCTGTTTGCCATTTCTGATAAAAGGCAAAGCAAATATTAGTCTACAACCTGATTTGATTCATGTTATCTACATAGATATGGCTTTTAATCTATGTTCCATTTTCATTTGTTCATCTCTGAGATTTCCCTCTTATCTCAATGATGGAGACTGCGAACTATGTGTCTGTAAATGTGGGAAACCACATATAGTGCATGGAGCCAACTGTTTTAGCTGCATAACCCCACCACCTTCTGTGAAGGATCACATCCATTAATCTCATAAGCTTCCCCTTTGGCCTCTATCAGACAAGATTCATTGTCATTTTAGGTTAAACCTTTCTGTCCAATAAGTGCTTACCCATCATATTTGTGAACACCAAGGTACCGTGAGAGAGTCTTTCATTTCAGGATATGTCCCTCCCACATCGGTCTATGACGCTTCTATCATCTTATTAAATAATCCAACAAATCTAGCAGTAAATGGATAGCCCAATTTTATGGTGCATCTCCTCATTACTGAAGGACCCATCTTCATTCTAATGATGGAAGGCCTTTAAAGAGTTCATCATATAAATCTCCCTATCACATGCACTTATATTTTAGTGGAGGGAATGAAATATTACGCCCTAGTTTTATTTAGGTCAAACCAAAGTGGCTCCCACTGGCTTTCTCAAAGCCAAATTTAAATGAGCCCTAAATGGCTAGGGTTCCGCATGAATCCTCTTAGGGAGGAAGCTGATGTGGGACCCATAAAATGGGGAGATCATCCAATGATCTTATGAACACCATGGAAATGATGTGCAAAAGAGCCACTATTGAATTAATCATGGGCCAAGTACTTATGGTCCATGTACATGGCATATCACACATCCATACATCACATGCATGAAACAAATTGATCCCATCAATTAAAATATCTATAAAATCCTTAATTAATTAGATTAAATCAATATCAACCCAATAGAGCCCATAGTGTTATCATATAACATTATCTACGTACATGGGCTATACTGCAAAAAGCAAGAACAATTATCAGAAAAACCAACCCCAACGAACTTGGGTCAGAAAAACCAACCCCATCGAACCAAGAATTCGGTCCAACCAGTTTGGTCCAAATATGGTACGAATCGGCTCAAGTTTTGGTGCCCAGTTCAAGATTTAATTCAGGAATAATGATATGAAAAATAAATTAAATCTAGATAATCAAATTATCAAGAAAACGAAATCAGAGGGCTGCACTATGATTGTAGAACTTCTTTCTATGAAAATCGTTATCTGCAAAGAACAATTAATCATAGATTACAAAATCATAGATTGTAGAACTTCTTTCTATGAAAACTTCTTCTCCTCTGTTGCACACTCTGACAATCTTCAGATGGAAATAAAATAGAAAAACCTAATTTTCTATTATTACATCACATCGAATTCCTATACAATTTGTCTAAAAAAAAAAAAAAATTATTTATAGACCAGATTGAATAGAAAAGAAATAGTTGGGTGAGCCAATCTTGGCACAAAAAAGATTCGATCTTTATCACATGTGTAGCCCAAATATTTAAGAAACATTCACAGAACAATTCTATAAATATAACAAACTAAAAAGATTTATTTTCCAGATCATCCGTACATAATCTGGGAACCAATTCCTAGAAAAAACGTTAACTGCGCTAATTGGGTAGAACACATTCTGCCTATTTGCGCAGATTCAGATCTGATCTAATTTGGTTCAAGACTTGAACCTGATTCTGATACCACCGAATGGATGGGAGATCCATCATATAGATGGCCGAACCCTATAGAAAGGTTGGGCAAAATTTCAAAAATTTCTTTACCCCCCATCTAGGAATCTTATTTCTAGTTTAGAAAACTGCATTTTCAAGGTTCGTTCTTGTAACCAAACCGAACCAAATTTGAAACTAAGATGAGGGAGGGATATACTTAAGGATAATGAACTTAAGTAAGATAAAACCCATAAAGTAATCAGCCCTGTAATGATCTCTTACACTTAACTTCTTAACCTATAATGATCAAATACTGTCCGATAGGGGAGGACCTCTCCCTTGGCTACAAGGTGCAGTGTTACAATCTCTACTTAGATGGATCCTAGGAATTAAAACTTTTAGCAAACATTTTTCATAATATATATACATATTGCAAAACCAAATCTCAAACACAGTTGAAATCCACTATTGGTAGTTTAGGTTTCCATTAGAAAGAGTGTAAATCCTACCATTCACTTTGTTAAAACAAATGGGTCGATCCTATTACTATAATCACACACTCAAGTGAATTCTCAGATTGCTCCAACATACTCGGGTTTTGACTCTTGATGGATTTCATTGATTGGCATATCAAAGAAAGCCCAATCCAATACCTAATACAACACCATAATCAAGTCTAGGGGTTATGTGCATGGTTCAAAGTATCGATACAATACACTTCGTATCGGGCATATCGTATCGTATCTTTTGAAAAAGGTACGGTCCAAAACACCTATCCCCAACTTTTTTTAATAATAAAAAACATGTTTTAAACTTCCTAAAAAACCAAAATTTGAAAAAAAAAACTAAAAAAATAGATGTTTCGGCCATTTCTAAGTACCGATACGATATGACTAAAATGCGTATCGTATTGATACTTTGAACCTTGATTATGTGTAATCTTCAAATTTTGCCCATCAATCTCCAAGGTCCAGGGCATAACTGAAAAATGGTCTAGGTTTAGTGTTTTATCTAAACTCACAATGCATGTGTTTTGGATATAAGCCAAGCAGTTGAGACAAGCTGTCTCAACTTCTTTGGTAGCATATTGGTGTCGTCCTTGACAAAATAAACTCCTCAAATTTATCCAACGGCTTAGAATATTCTAAACTTATACGAATCTCATAAATGTTCAGTTTAAAGAGTAATTTCACAGAAATATACTAATATTAAAATAAAATAATAATATACTTTTATTCATTTACAATAAAGACATACAAACGACATACATTCTTAAAAACCAAACCTGCTTGTGTTGTATTCAAGTTATGCTGATGTCTCGTGTAAAATATTGCCAACCCACACCAGATGATAAGGCCCATCACATGGTTGGTACGGTACTAATCCTAAATCTTAGAGCTGCCAATGAATTAGAATCATCAGATCGAATTGGATATACCAATAATCAAATTTAATTTGTTAATATTTGGATTTGAATAGATCTATATATTTGGCATTGGGATCTGCTGCAAATATATCCATATAACAACAGGTCCAAAATCCCATATCTGATCCAATTATAAATCAGATTTAAAATATCAACACACGTGATACCAGAATATTACATATTATTTCAAATATTGATACTGTCCGGTCCAAACCCAAGTCAGACAGTTTTAGGTCCAAAATCAGACCAGGACCATAACCGTTTCTGGATCAACCAGTCCAACCGTCCAGTCCGGTCCAATTTTTAAAACCATGCCACTCAAATCCAAGTGCTTATGGAATCTATGACCTTCAGTGCCACTACAATACGCACAGTATAATATCATATATACCAATACTTTAAACCTTGATTGTAAGCGGATCAATTTTGAATCACCCTTAGCTCGATTGGATTGTACATTAAAAAAATAACAACAAACTAGATGGATTAGAAACCAAAATTGGATTTTTTTTGGTAGAAGAAACCAAAATTGGATAAACTATACCATTTTCATCCCTATAAGGCTGTAACCATAAATTGATCCTAAAATAAAATCAAATAATGCTCGTGGAGCTCCGCCCCTTTTGTCATAAACTCATACTGGATGGGAAAGCTATGACTCTGAGAATATCTTCATTATTGTCTCTAGAATGTTCCTGAGACACTGATGCAGTTTGTTGTGGATTCATTAACCCTTGTCCTTCAACAACCTAAAGTTATTCCCCAGTCTCAGGCCTCTCGGCCCTCGTACTTTTTTTTTTATCAAGGAACTCGGCCCTCGTATTAACATCACGTAACCGAGTAACTAGAGCAAACACAGAGATAGTGATGAATCTATTCTCCTTGGGGGAACAAAAACTGCATTCTCTAACTTCATTATGAAGTGAAGCTAAGAAAGTTGGGAACTTGGAAAGAATTCAGAATCAACAACTAATCTCTTGTTAAACTTGAACGTATTATTACAGACTGAAAAAAAAATAATATAAATACAGTAAGCTAGCAAAAACAGCTAATTCCGTGGTCAGCTATGAATAGGGAGGGCCAACCTCTGTTTTGTCCCCTTTCCGATACAGCAAACTTCAAAAAATGTCATCATACATATTAATCACCAATTAGGAGGTTAGAATTGATAAATGGAAAATGAACAAACAAAAACAAAAGGATGAATAAAAAAACCCCACTAATTATACAGCAATTTTGCTGCTGAGAAGAAGGCAAAAAAATACAAGATTCCTGTCTTCTTCTTTAAAAAAAAAAGATGATATGTACATTAAAAATCAAAATAAATATACAATATAAGAGGAAAAACATTAATCCACTTATCAGATCAAAACTTTGTCTTAGATTGGACTTAAATCTTGTGAAATCTGACCCTGCCACCTGCATCACATGCCAATTTTATATTATTTCTGAACAATCTACGAAATATCAAATGAAAACATCAACTGACGAACCTTGCAACAAGGAACCTTGCAAGCGGGCTTAAATTTTGGTTCCCAGGGAGTTCCATATTGTGCTGTTTCTTCCTGTTCATAGCTTCTGCATTTGCATTTTCTGATTGTCGAGTAGCCATTTTTCCTTTTGTAAAGATGCTAGCTGCAAGTTCCTGGAGTCCCCTCATTGAAGATTCCTTTGAGCTGCACAATGTTTCCTATCCAATTATTTGAAGTAAACAAAATGAACCTTTATAGTTTGTAACACAGTCACTGAACTAGAAGGCATATAATAACACCAAATAACTTGTGGACCTTCCCAGCCGCTGAAGAATCCTGCTGACAAGGGCTTCACAAGAACCAGGCTTCAGATACTCCAGCTCCATAAGTGAATCTACCACAGAGTGTTGAACAGGCCTTTTTAAATCATTGTCAATAGCCTGCATATATAATATATGATGGCAGGTCATAAGTTGTCAAATATTGCAGTTTGAAGCACTAGTAAATCAAACACCAAACGTCCTACTAGAACTCAAGAATTCTGATAGTGATGTCGTCATCAGGGTGCAAGAACATTTCATTTCTGCATAAAGTGTGAGGGCCAAACATTAATTGCTTTTGCAATGCAGCAAAACCAGCAGTCATTCCATCAAAATGTGTTGGGTCTTAAATGAGCCAAGGTGCTAAAATCAGCCACACACACCACATAAAACAATAAGGGTCCCCAAGTTCTGTAAAGGTCTAAAGATAATTGCAACTTTATGGGCATATAGATTAGACTTCTTTATTTTAGGTGGTGGGGAAGGAGAGGTAAGAGAACCCTGAGATCTTCTCTAACTAGAGTCAACTTAGTAAAACCTTTTCCCAACTAGGCCAGTTACATAAATCCCATCTCACCATTTTACTAACAAGAGTTATGTCCTCTGTTAGATTGTGAATTCATGGGTCTTTTCTCACTACTAGAACCCACATTTTTTCCAGCCTCATCCTATTTCTTTCAGAACTGATAACTTGTATTAGGAAACAAAGCTATAGCTTAATGCAACCAAAAATTGATAGCATTGCTTTGATTTGTTCAATATAAAGAAACCTGAATAGTGGCTTGTATATACTTAACTCTTACCTCATTCTCATATGTCATGCCAGATTGTGTCAACATGGAAGTAATAGTAAAAGAATTATTAAATCTATTGTCTGATCATCAGACAAATGATCAACGGAGTAGTAAATTAAACCATCCCTAGAAGCAACAGGAGTTAAGTGCTGCCTATAAAAGCATTGTGCAAGGGCAATGCCAGCACCACTTTCCATGTCCATGGACCCTTAAATCACAAATCAACAAATGTAGAGAGGGATGTTAACAAAAAATACAAGGTACAGACAGAATATTAAGTTTTGTCCATTTCTGCTTCAAAGGCTCAGTACAGACATTGCATGGCAAGAACATGTGTGTACCACATACTGGACTTAGAATATACACTAAAATTTGAAGTACACAGAGAGATACCCACTTCAAATGTCCAACCAAGCAATTGGACAAAGTAGAATCTAGAAACCAGAAAAATAAGCAAAAAGAAAGGAAGGGAATGGAAAGAAAGGGTTCATGAAGTAGAAGAGAAGAAGAGAAAGTTCTATGGCCACCCCATTAGTTTGTATTTATACCTTATCTAAAACATATACAATGACAAGAGATGCCCCTAGTAGGGTGGCTAGTGTTAAAACAATAAATAATGAAACTAAAAACATAACAGGCCCATATGGGCCAAGGCCCAAGAACACTAAAACAAAAAATAATAAACTAAAAACAACTGTCAACGCTCCCCCTAAATTTGTGAATAATATTAACCATTCTCAACTCGTGTAAGTCATGCTCCAACTTGTTTCCAGCAACTCCCTTGGTGAAAATGTCTGCAAACTGCATCTTAGATGAAATACAGGGCAAACACACTTCTCCCAAGGACACCATATAGCAGATAAAGTTTCTGTCAACCTCAATATGCATAGCTCGATCATGCTGAGCCTGATTGTAAGCAATGTTAATAACAGCCTGATTATCATAGTACAACATCAAAAGTGTCTCTATCTCAATCCCAAGTTCTCCAAGGAGCAAACAGAGCCAAAGCAACTCAAATACTCCATGGGCCATGAATCTGCATTCATCTTCTGCACTAGATCTAGCCACCACAAACTGTATTTGACTCTTCCATGACACTAAGCTTCCACCAACAAGAGTACAAAATCCAGATGTAGACATCCTATCATCTAAGGATCCTGCCAATCTGGCATCTGTATAAACTTCCACCTTCATGTTGGTTAGGAAACAACAAACCTCTACTAGGATGCTTCTTTAGATATGCAAGTATTCTGTCAATAGCTGCCCAATGTGAAGTCTGTTTAGTATGCATGTACTAACTAACAACACTCACAGCATAGGAGACGTCCGGACATGTCATGCACAAATACAATAACCTCCCTACCAATCTTTGATACCTCCCAAATTCCTTAACACACCATCTGAACCATTAACCATATGGTTCTGACCAATAGGAGTATTAGCAAAAGAGTGTGGTAGGGTTGTGTCTGTGTATGGTCAAATCTAATCAACACATCCATGAACCTCTCAAACCATGCTTTAGGTGATTGCCTCAATGCATATAATGACTTTCTCAATTTTCAAATCTTTCCTTTATCAACATCATTGTAAAACCCTGCTGGAAAATCCATACATACCACTTCTTACAAGTCTCCATTAAGGAAGGCATTCTTGACATCAAGTTGAAACAATAGCCAAGAATATATGGCAGCTAGAGAAAGAAGCACACAAACTGAACTCATTTTGGCCACAGTTGTAAAGGTCTCCATGTAATCAATACCATAGGTCTTAAATATACACCCTTGCTACCAATCTCGCCTTATACTTCTCCATACTACATCAACTCTATGCTTCACAGTAAATATCCATTTGCACCCCACAATCTCCCTACCAGCAGGTTACCTCCCAAGTTTAATTCTTAATCAATGCACCCATCTCCTTCTACATGGTCTATTTTCACTTAGATTTGGAGAGAGCCTCAGAGACATTCCTGGTATGGATACGGAAGTAAGGGAAGATGGGAAAGCATTACAAAATGGTGAAAGAGAACTATGAGAGAGGATGGGAGATGCAATGTGCTATGAAGGTGGTGCACTGTCTCATCCCCTTGTAGAGTGCAATGGGAAGATCCAGATCATCAAGAGTACGTGTATCACCAAAAGTAACAGCAATAGGGGTATCAACAAGATCAATAGGAATACCCGGATCATGTCTAGGGAACCTTAAGTCTCAAAAGGAATGATAGAGTGGCATAGGTTCTCTTAGAGCATCAAAATCAACCCTCCCGTGCTATCACCTGAAAAACTGTAAAAAGGCATGAATAGGTGTTGACAAAGAAACAGGAGCAGACGAAGGAGAAAGAACTGGTAGAGGAACAAAGGAAGAAACAACACTCTCATCACCAAAATATTCCCCCTAAGGAGAATTACCAAAAAAGAATAACATCCATGGTAACATAACGACTACCAGATGCAAGATCGTAGCAATAATACCCCTTTTGATTTTGAGCATGCCCAAGGAAGACACATTTCTTGGCTTAAAGAATAAACTTAGCACGATGAGATCGAAGAACATGAACAAAGCAAGTGCAGCCAAAAACCCATAAAGAAATATGAAGCATCTCCCCCTCAAGAAAAAAAAACTCCGTAAAGAGCCTTAAAACCAAGAATGTGAGAGAGCATACAATTACTTAAGACACTATAATAGAAAACAACATCACCCCAAAAGCGAATGAGGACTGAGGTAGATATCATAAGGCTCCTAGCCACCTCAACTATATTTCCTTTCTTTCATCAACCCCATTCTACTTTAGTGTATGAGCACAATTGCTCTAGTGAACAACCCCATGCTCCAAAAGGTAGGATGCTAGGTTTTTCTCAAAAGTACTTCCTAGCATTATCAGAATTCAAAACCTTAGTCCTCACCCCAAACTTCGTGAAAATCTAGTAGAATTGTTGAACTAGAGATGGAACCTCGTCACGAAAATGCATCAAAAAAAGCCAAGAATAACGAGAGTAATAATCCATAAATAAAAGAAAATATCGATAACCACCCATAAAAGGAACAGAGTAAGGGCCCCCTATATCAATATGAGCAATATCAAAACCCAAAACCTTGTGAAGAGGATATGTTTTCAAAGGTGAAACAGGAAACCCAAAACCCTGTGAAGAGGATATGTTTCCAATTGATTACTCCAACATAAAAAGGAAAGGATTCCAATCCAAATCGATCTCATTAACAAGGTTAAAAAACCTTAAATCAAATCAGATTCCATGGAAAAATGGCTCTGGGAAGGATTCAGCACTAAGTACCTTATCTCGAGAAAGCAAAAAAAAAAAAAGGATCAATCTCTCTAGGGGGCTCTATACTTGATCCTAAGACAACCAATCACTTTCTTGGCGAAAAACAGCCCTAAATAACAGAAGCCACGAGTTCCAAAAGTAGAAACAAACTTGCAAAAAGAAAATCTACCTTTTTTCATTCTCTTGTTCTTTTAGTTTCTAGGTAGAACATCAAGACCTTCACCTTGGGCAGAAACTATCACTCCAAAACCTAAGAATCAGTCCAAGAACAATTGAACAATCCACCTTCTCAGTCTTCCATGCAGTCAGATGATCCTAAACTTGAATGGAAATCAATCCAAGGTCAATTAGACCAGCTCTGATACCAAGTAGAATTTAGAAAGCAGAAAAAATAAGCAAAAAAAAAAAAGGAAAGGAATAGATAGAAAGGGTTCTTGAAGTGGAAGAAAAGAAGAAAGATAAAGAGAAAGATGGGAGAAAGACGGGGAAAGCCAAAGAAGTTTTATGGTTGCACTATTGGTTTGTATTTATACTTTATCTAAAACATGTACAATGACAGATTCTTCTAGTAGAGCAGCTAGTGTTATAACAATAAATATGCTAAAAACATAACAGACCCATATGGGTCAAGGAACAATAACACTAAAAGATAAAATAAAAAAGGGCAGCCCAGTGCACAAGGCATGGGTACACAGCCTTACTCTTGCACATACAGAGAAGCTAACTCCAAGATTTGAACCCTGGTCACCCAGGCCACAATGGAGCAACCCAACATTGTGCCAAGGCCCACCCTCACTAAAAAATAAAATAATAAACTAAAAACAAATGCCAACAGAAAACTATCATATTAACTTGGCAACATGGCATGTAAGAATAAAACCTCTCTATTCACCTCTTTCAATGAAGGAAGAAGTAAAACTGATAATGCAGGAGATGCTGCAGCGGCGGCAGAAATTTTTACATTCTCTTCATCATCACTTCCTTGACAAGATCTAGGAAAATCTTTTTGTGCATCAAAGTACTCGTGAGATTGTCTGAGAAACGAAACAGAATAATTCAGAAATGTTATCTCTTTATTGCATTATCTTCCATCTTAAGTAATATAATTAGTGGCATGCCTAGAGCAATACAGAATACCTAGAGGAAACAAAGTTGTTTGGGGATTCTGTAATTCTACTTTCTTTCCCATCTTTGTTGAGTTTTCCCGACACAGACCTCTCTCTAGCATTTGCTTTCCTTAAACCACCTTGAATAGCAATCTTAGCCTGAAATAGGAGGAAAGGTAGAAAGCTATTTATGCAAACGGATGTAAAATACAGATTGCACAATAATTGATACAAACACACACACACACACACACAAATACAAATGGACAGTAACATAGAAAGAAAACAACCTCAGCAAGGTTTTTTGCACTGTCTTCAAGTGATGTACTAGAAGATTTCTCTTGGACCCCCAATCTGGATTTTGGAGTCCGAGGAGAATCAGAGGCATCATGCTGGCTGCGGAGAACAACAGTCCCACTAGAAGATACATCCTCAAAAGAAGCATATCTATTGCTAGACTACATAACACAACAAGATATGCATGAGCTATTGTCTAGCAAACCACAGAAAGGTTGCAATACCAACTAAACTCATCTAAAGTTTACATATCATTTTGTAACAATCATACCAAGGCACTCTGCTCACTAAATGGGGTTGATGCCTGCAATATCCTTGGAGATCGTACGACAACAGTTCCTGAATCACACACTGATACTTGCCCCTGTATATTGAGTGCTTTTAATTTTCATAAAGAAGAGATAGAAGTGAAGTTTAACAGTGCCAAAGAGATGGGAAATTTTAATACACAAAGTAATTCTTACATTTTCACGAGAATTCTCCTCTAGTTCATCATCATCTTGCTCACTACTATCCTTTTCCAAGGAAGCTTCTGATGATTCATGACTAGAATTTGCAGATGCAAATGACCATTGATTACCTCTGTCTGCAATTTTTCTAGTGGGACTCTGACTATATAAGGTTTCTGATCTTTTTTCTCTTGTTCCAGCAATCGGAGGTGGCTTTACAGCACTGCGGATGGTCCCTGTACCCTGTGATCTGCTCATGCTGAAGTCCCATCCATCATTCTTCAGGGATATTTCATTACTAGATTCAAGTAAAACAAGTCAGAAGAAAGCAGAATGATAAGATGCTACAAACAGACAAGCCAACGGTAATCTACACATAAGACATACCTAGCTTTAACAGTTTCTTCATTCCTTAAATCCCTGTTAACCTTCACAGTGCCAGAGGCATCTCCAAATGTCCTAGGACCATCTCTTGGGGTTTCTGGCTCTTCCTTTGCTTGGAATTTTGGATGCTCCCTATCAAGAAAACATAGATTCTTCATTGTAAAGGGATATTTCTTACTATATTCAAGTAAAACAAGTCAGAAGAAGGCAAATTGATAAGATGCTAAAACAGACAAGCCAATGGTAATCTACACAAAAGACATACCTAGCTCTAACGGTTTCTTCATTCCTTAAACCCCTGGTAACCTTCACAGTGCCAGAGGCATCTCCAAATGCCCTAGGGCCATCTCTTGGGCTTTCTGCCTCTTCCTTTACTTGGAATTTTGGATGCTCCCTATCAAGAAAACATAGATTCTTCATTCCTCAGGGATATTTCATTACTAGATTCAAGTAAAACAAGTCAGCAGAAAGCAGAATGATAAGATGCCAAGGACAGACAAGCAAATGGTAATCTACACAAAAGACATACCTAGCTCTAACAGTTTCTTCATTCCTTAAATCCCTGGTAACCTTCACAGTGCCAGAGGCATCTCCAAATGCACTAGAACCATCTCTTGGGGTTTCTGCCTCTTCTTTTACTTGGAATTTTGGACGCTCCCTATCAGGCAAACATAGCGAAAAGCAAGAAGCAATATTCAGCAGAGATTCAAAGAAGTTTTTTAGTATATAGGTTCCAAGGTATACATATTCCTATTCTAAATGAAAAATTCACTAACCACATTTTAAATAGACTTTATGGAAATAGTAAAAAGCAAACAATAATATCATGCACCTTATTCTTTCCAAAAGCCTGGAACCTTTTCTGGCATTCTTAATGAAACGATGCTTTAGAAGTTCCTTAGCACTGGGTCTCTGAAATTAAGACAGTGAAAGAGATAAAAAAAAAGTCAAGACTAGATTTTACTCAATAATGGGTGAACTAATAACAAGGTTTTGTGAACATCTCATCTAGTTAACATCAACTAGAACTGCATAGTTCATACATGGTAGTTCCAATAGATCAAAGATTGAAAACAATACACCAACTACCGTACATAAAGAGGAATACGATAAATCAATCCAAGGACATGCCACCTTTGCTAACTCACAAGAACTTCTGATGCCCTTCTTCAACAAATGATAACTAATGTTTTTCCAAAATGTAGCTGCAAATAATTGGTTCATTAAAAAAGATACAGTTCTAGGGTTGCCAAATTTCAGAAAATGGTGTGACTATTATATATACAATTTTTATGAAGGCCATTACACAAGGCTAGTCCCAGCTACCAGGGGTCTTGGGAGGGTTAGACTGGGTACAGTCCAGATGTAAATCAGTTCTCAAATATTAGGTGTAAATTTGAAGATTAGAAGAAAAAAGGAAGAAGAGAAGAGCAGCAACACAAGAGAAGAAGATGGCGAAAAGAGAAGGAAGAAGAAGAAGAATCGAATTATCTTCCCTTTCTCCTCTAATCCTTTTTTTT